AGATGAACGAGGCAGCATGGTACATTTTAAGCTTTTATTTAGTGTGAAAGATGCATGGGCGAGTGAAGGCTTTGGTTCAGTCTAAGGAGAAGGGACAATCTGGAAGTTAGGGTAGAGTCCATACCAAGCAGAGAGCAGGCCAAAAACCATGTGCAGCAAGCGCCTTGAGCTGCTGTCCACCACTTATCACCAGCAGGCAAGCAGAGCCTTTTGGGACGCACCTCGCCTTTTACATATTTCTCACATGGTCTAGTGGGCAAGTGTGCACTCAGGTATGGTCAGGTAGGGCGTGATGTCACAGGAGCGTGGCGAAGGCGTGGTCTTCCAGCTCACAAACCTAATCAGTTTTAGCCTGTTTGCCTGTCTACTTCACTTCCTGCTGTGAGCCTCCTTGTCTCTCTGTCCAAGAACCCCACAATGGCCTGGGCCGGGGCAGGCCGAAGTCAGAAGCTTCTTCCTGGTCTCCTGCGTGGGTGCAGGGGCCCAAGGACTTGGGCCATCTTCCACTGCTTTTCCAGACCACAGCAGAGAGCTGATCGGAAGTGAAGCAGCTGGGACTTGAACCCACATGGGATGCTGGTGTCACAGGCGGCGGCTTAACCCACAGTGTCTGTGCGAGAAGATTGTGGTTAATATAGAAGTCATGGCAGGGGCTGCAGGAGCGAGCGGTTACTTGCAGGAACGCGCCTGGGAGTGTGGAGAAGTGTTTTGCCCTGTAGACCGGGCATGTTGCCGCGGCCTTGACAGGAGGCTGTCAGAGCAAGACCAGTAAAGGACCAGGCTTTGCCACTGCCCGCGAGGCCTGTCCCATGGCAGAAGCTGCCAGCCAGGAAGCTGTCTGCTGTGTGAGACCTGGGCCCCTCTGTGGGGTCCATTTCAGCACCGAGGATTCTCCCAGCACGGACCCCTGCCCCTGCGTCTCGGGGGTTTGCCTTCTGACTTAGGACGTCGGTGGTTTGCAGTGAGAACCATGGCTAGTTGGTGTCCCTGTGGCTGCCGTGACAAGTGACCACAGGGTGTATTCTTTTTTTTTTTTTTTTTTTTTTTGACAGGCAGAGTGGATAGTGAGACAGACAGACAGAAAAGTCTTCCTTTTTGCCATTGGTTCACCCTCCAATGGCCGGCGCACTACGGCCAGCACATCGCGCTGATCCGAAGCTAGGAGCCAGGTGCTCCTCCTGGTCTCCCATGGGGTACAGGGCCCAAGCTCTTGGGCCATCCTCCACTGCACTCCTGGGCCACAGCAGAGAGCTGGCCTGGAAGAGGGGCAACCGGGACAGTATCCGGCACCCCGACCGGGACTAGAACCCGGTGTGCCAGCGCCGCAGGCGGAGGATTATCCTAGTGAGCCATGGCACCGGCCCACAGGGTGCATTCTGTGCAGCTCTGAGGCCAGGCATCTCCCAGCTCGGAGCAGCCAGCACTTGAACTGGCGCTCAGATATGCAACGTGCGTGTCCCAGACAGGGGCTTAGCCCGCCACGTGACAATGCCAGCCACTGATCCTGGCCTTTTCCAGGAGCTGAAAGACTTGCAGACCACGTGCAGGCCCTGCTGCCACCCTCCTTGGGTCTTCCATCTGGGCCTGATCTCTCAAGGACCCCTGTGGTGGCAGTCGGGGGCCCTGACTTCATGACACAGTTAGTTGTTCCCAGACAGGGCAGTGTTCACAAGTTCTGCCTTTGTGTAGACACCGTGGGCACAGGTGTCAGTGCTGCATGGTCAGTCCCAAGGATCTCGTGGCGTCCAAGGTTAGCGACTCTGCTTCCCGGAGGGAGGTCAGCTGCCATGGCAAATGAACGCAGGACCCAAAACTGTGTGCCGTGCGGTGCTTAAGGAAAACGAAACCTCAACATTCCGCACCTCGGTTGCACCGGCCTCGTCCTAGGATGCGGCTCTTCCATTAACTGGTTCACTTCCCAAATATAGGCAATGCCTGGGCTGGGCCAGGCTGAAGCTGGGAGCCTGGAGCTCCATCCAGGTCTCCCATGTGGCTGCAGGGGCCCACTGCCTTCCTAGGTGCGTTAGCAGGGAGCTGTATTGGGAGTGGAGCAGCCAGGATTGGAGCTAGCACAGGTGGCTTAACCCACTGCACCACGACACATCACCCTCTCTGTTTTCAGTGTCTTGAAACCTAGGAGTGGAATTGTGGGGCTGTGGAGCGTTTATTCTATTTCTTTTCTTTTTTTAAAAAAATATTTATTTATTTTGAGAGACAGTAACAGAGAGAGGGAGAGGCAGAGAGAGAGAGAGAGATCTTCCATTTGCTGGTTCACTCCCTTAATGGCTGTGGAAGCTGGAGCTGCGCCGATCCGGAGCCAGGAGCCAGGAGCTTTCTCCCAGTCTCCCACATAGGTGCAGGGGCCCAAGGACTTGGGCATCTTCCACTGATTTCCCAGGCCACAGAGCTGGTTTGGAAGTGGAGCAGCCAGGACTCGAACCAGCACCCATGTAGGATGCTGGCACCACAGGCAGAGGCTTTAGCCGATTGTCCTACAGTGCCAGACCTTATTCTGTTTCACAGTGGTTTTGAAAAGAAGCAATGTTGAAATCAGTGTCCTCCACCCTCATCTAGATGGCGGGTTTTAGATTCTGCCCCCTGGTCTGTGAGCCATGTGCCTTTCTCCAGAGCCAGCTGACAGTGGGCTGCGGTTGCCCCGAGGACGCTTCCGTGGAACCACAGCTCACGCCCCAGGCTCAGGGCTCAGTTTAATACAGCAGTGCCGTCTGCCGTGTAGTCTATTTTTTTTTTTTTTTTGTATGCAGAATCTTTTCTTTTTTTTTTTTTTATTTTTTGACAGGCAGAGTGGACAGTGAGAGAGAGAGACAGAGAGAAAGGTCTTCCTTTTGCCGTTGGTTCACCCTCCAATGGCCGCCGCGGCCGGCGCGCTGCGGCCGGCGCACCGCGCTGATCCGATGGCAGGAGCCAGGAGCCAGGTGCTTCTCCTGGTCTCCCATGGGGTGCAGGGCCCAAGGACTTGGGCCATCCTCCACTGCACTCCCTGGCCACAGCAGAGGGCTGGCCTGGAAGAGGGGCAACCGGGACAGAATCCGGCGCCCCAACCGGGACTAGAACCCGGTGTGCCGGCGCCGCTAGGCGGAGGATTAGCCTAGTGAGCCGCGGCGCCGGCCTAATCTTTTCTTTTTTTTTAAACTTTCATTTAATGAATATAGATTTCCAAAGTACAGCTTATGGACTACATTTGCCCCCCCCCCCCAGTCTGTCTATTTTTAATCTTTTATTTTTCTTTTTAGAGATGTATTTGTTAATTTGAAAGGTAGAGTTAGGGAGGGAGGGAGGGTCTTCCATCCGCTGGTTCACTCTCCAAATGGCAGCAGTGGCTGGAGCTGGAGCTGGAGCTGGGTTAGGTTGAAGCCAGGAGCCTCTCCTGGGTCTCCCACGTAGGTGCAGGGGCCCAAGGACTTCAGCCATCCTCCGCTGCACATTACTAGGGAGCTGGATCGGAAGTAAAGCAGCCACTTGAAGTGGCACCCACATGGGATGCTGGCACTGCTAGGCCACGGTGCCGCTGGGCCAGACTGCAGCCAGGATCCAGGAAATCAGCCCAGGTTTCCCGCGTGAGTGGAGGGACCTAGTCCTTGAGCTGTTGATTGCTGCTCTCCAGTGTGCTTTGGTGCAGGCTGGATCGGAAGCACAGTAGCCAGGACTGATGTCCAGGAGCACTGGGGAGGGAACGCAGGTATCGCAGGCAGTGTCCGAGCTGCACCAGATGCCCGCCCCCTGTTCCCCTCTGTGCTGAGACGACACTCGGTGTGCGATGCTTCAGCGTGTTCGTCCCTTGGTGGGTACGTGGCTGCTTCAGTGCTTTGACTGCCAGGAACGACCTCCTGTGTGAACCCAGTGACTGTCGCATCCATTGGTGATCTGGCCTGATTAGATGTTCCTGGGAAGACTAAGGAAGGTTTTGAGCCAGCGTTGCGGCGTGGCGGGTTAAGCTGCAGCTTGCGGCACCAATGTTCTGTCTCAGCGCTGGTTTGAGTCCCGGGTGCTCTTCTGGTCCAGTTCCCTGCTAAGCGCCTGGGAAAGCAGCAGCTGGTGACCCATGTGTTTAGACCCCTTCCACCCACGAACGAGACCTGGATGGAGTTCCAGGCTCCTGGCAGCTATTTGGAGAGTGAACCAGATGATGGAAGATATCTCTCTTACTGTCTATGTGTGTCACTCTTCCAAATAAATGAATCTTTTTTTTTTCTAAAGACTTATTTTTTATTTATTCGAAAGGCAGAGTTAAAAGGAGAAAGAGAAAACTCTTCCATCTGCTGGTTCATCCCCCAAATGGCCTCAGTGGCTGGGGGTGGGCCAGGATGAAACCAGAAAACAGGAGCTTCTGCCAAGTCTCCCACATGGGTGCAGGGCCCAAGCACTCGGGCCATCTTCCACTGCCTTCCCAGGCCATTAGCAGGGAGCTGGATCAGATGTGGAGCAACCGGGACTTGAACCAGTGCCCATGTGGGATGCAGGTGCTGTAGGCTGAGGCTTTACCCACTACGTCACAGCGCTGGCCCATAAATCTTTCTGTAAAATGAATGTCTGAATAGTTGTCATTCCTACTATATTTATTAGAGGGACTTCCGTGTGTGTGTGCGCACACTCCTGGAACTGCTGTCAGCGTGGACTCGGGGTTTTTATTGAGTATAAATAGCTCATTCTTCTGAGAGTCGCCTGGGGACGTCCTGCCCCGTGTCCTCACCCTGTGGTGCTGAGCCTGCCTTGTCCTTGGGGGTCTGAGCATGGAAGGCGGCTGTCCTGTGCCCGTCTCCCTTTCTGCATCCTGGGTTATCCCAGCTGGGGCGCTGCTGCCTGCATCCAGAGCACCCTGGCATGAGCCGCTGTGCTGCAGGGGGCGACTGCAGGCCAGAGGCACCCTGTGAGCTCTCAGGGGCCAGGCATGGGCACTGGAAACAGCCCAGCGGCTTGGGGCTTCTTGGTTGGGTGTCCCCTGTCACGTCGCTCGCTAGTTCTCTTTCTCTGCGTTGCAGGCCAAGTCCTGTGTCTGTCACGTGTGCGGCGTCCACCTGAACAGGCTGCACTCCTGCCTCTACTGCGTCTTCTTCGGCTGCTTCACCAAGAAGCACATCCACGAGCACGCCAAATCCAAGCGGCACAACCTGGGTGAGCGCCTCCCGCCGCGGGGCTGGCTTTGCAGTTCACGCTTCCCGACCCGCACCCCTCCTCTGACCCCACAGGACTTGTGCAGGAGCAGGCGTCCAGCCAGCTGGCTTGTCACGATTCCCAGCCTGAGAGAGAACAAGGCAGGGGGGTGTCTTCCAGCCATGGGCTCCCTCCCCAAATGACCACAACACCCGGAGTTGAGCCAAGTTGAAGCCAGGAGCCAGGAACTCCTCCTGGGTCTCCCATGCGGGTGCAGGAGCCCAAGCACTTGGGCCATCTTCCGCTGCTTTCCCAGGTACATTAGCAGGGAGCTGCCTTGGAAGTGGCCCTGTAACATGAGATGCATCCACATTGCAGCTTAACCCGCTGGCCCAAATCTATCTCACATACTTAAAAATTCCAACCAGGGGCCAGCGCCGCGGCTCACTAGGCTGATCCTCCGCCTGTGGTGCTGGTACCCCGGGTTCTAGTCCCGGTTGGGGTGCCGGATTCTGTCCTGGTTGCTCCTCTTCCAGTCCAGCTCTCTGCTGTGGCCTGGGAAGGCAGTGGAGGATGGCCCAAGTGCTTGGGCCCTGCACTCGCATGGGAGACCAGGAGGAAGCACCTGGCTTCAGGTCGGCACAGCACGCTAGCCGTAGAGGCCATTTGGGGGGTGAACCAACAGAAGGAAGACCTTTCTCTCTGTCTCTCTCTCTGCCTGTCCAAAAAAAAAAAAAAAAAAAAATTCCAACCAGTCCTACTTTCTGGAAGTCACATAAGATAAAATTAAGCTTTGCTCTTGGTTTTGTTCTCTGATGGGTCGTTAAATATTTTCCCAGCAGAGCAGCCTTTTTAAATGCTTGGGGGCTTTCTGAGGGTCTCCCTTCGGAACAGCACCAGCAGAAACGAGCCAGGGACAGCTGCTCTGGGGGATGCTCGTGTGATCCCAGCAACTCCAGGGGGAGAGATTTTTTTCATGTCTTTTTTTTTTTTTTCCCTAAAGTTCTGTAAGCTTGCACTCCCTAGAAGTCCTGGCTGGAAACAATATTAGGCAAGGTTGTGTATTAATCCCAGTTACTTAAAGCTGCACATACAGTAAAGACTAAATCCCGGCCGGTGCCGTGGCTCACTAGGCTAATCCTCCGCCTTGCGGCGCCGGCACCCCGGGTTCTAGTCCCGGTCGGGGCACCGGTTTCTGTCCCGGTTGCCCCTCTTCTAGGCCAGCTCTCTGCTGTGTCCAGGGAGTGCAGAGGAGGATGGCCCAAGTGCTTGGGCCCTGCACCCCATGGGAGACCAGGAGAAGTACTTAGCTCCTGCCATCGGATCAGCGCGGTGCGCCGGCCGCAGCGCGGTGGCCATTGGAGGGTGAACCAACGGCAAAAAGGAAGACCTTTCTCTCTGTCTCTCTCTCTCTCTCTCACTGTCCACTCTGCCTGTCAAAAAAAAAATAAAAAAATAAAAATATAAAAAGACTAAATCCCAGGGTTTTCTTTTACTGTTTTTAAAAAATTTTATTTAGAGGCCGGCACTGTGGTGTAGCGGGTAAAGCCACTGTCTGCAGTGCCAGCAGTCCATATGGGCGCCAGTTCAGGTCCTGGCTGTTCCATTTCTGATCCAGCTCTCTGCTCTGGCCTGGGAAAGCAGCAGAGGATGGGCCAAGTGCTTGGGTCCCTGCACCCGCACTGGAGACCTGCAAGAAGTTCCTGGCTCCTGACTTTGGATCAGCATAGCTCTGGCTGTTGCAGCCAATTGGGAGGTGAACCAGCAGATGGAAGACCTCACTCTCTTTCTCTCTCTCTGTTTCTGCCTCTCCTTCTCTCTCTGTGTAATTCTTTTAAATTTATTTGCAAAAATTTTATTTATTTACAAGGCTGAGCAATGGGGGGAGTGGGAAGGAGAGATCTTCCATCCACGGGTTCACTCCCCACATGGCTGCAACAGCCAGGGCTGGGCCAGGCTGAAGCCAGGAGCTCCATCTGGGTCTCCCATGTGGGTGCAGGAGCCCAAGCACCTGGGCCCTCGTCCACTGTTTTCCCAGCCACATTAGCAGGGAGCTGGATCAGAAGCAGAGCCGCTGGAACTCAGACTAGATGGGAGCATCACAAGCAGACGCTCCACCCGCTACATGTCGGTGCCGGCTGCCAGTGCTGGCCTCTTAGGTTGATGAATTACAGGGGAGGCACCCCAGGGGCAGTGATGGCGTCCTGTGCTTTCCACCCTGTGTGGCTGTTTCCTGTCTCGTCTGAGTCCTGGCAGTCCAATCCACTCTCGGGCCTGGGCTGCCACTTGGCATGGTGGAACGGCCACAGCAGGTGGGCTGTGGATTGGGACTTAGCGTTATCTGCAGCTTCTCACTGCTGCCCACAGCCGTGTACAGAAACCATGGCGGAAGTGTGTGCTGTGTGCCAACTCTGACAGCCCTGTTGGTCGGCAGTGCCTTTGCTTTTGCCGGAATGAGCAGGTGCCTATGACGTTTGCTTTAAGAAAGCAGAAGCCTGGGGCTGGCATTGTGGCGTGGCAGGTTAAGCTGTGGCCAGCGTCCCTCATGGGCGCCGGTTCCAGTCCCGGCTGCTCCGCTTCAGATCCAACTCCCTGCTGCTAGTGCACCTAGGAAAGCAGAAGATGGCCCAGGTGCTTGGACCCCTGCTCCCACGTGGGAGACCCGGAGGAAGCTCCTGGCTCCAGCCTGGCCCTGCCCCAGCTGCTGCAGCCATGTGGGGAGTGAACCAGTGGATGGAAGATTGCTCCCTCTCTCTAACTGCCTTTCAAATAATAAATAAATCTTTAAAAATTAAAAAAAAAAGCAGAAGCCTGAACTGGGAAGCAGGAGCAGCTTCTGCTGTGATGGAGTTCCTCTGGAAGACTGTGTGTGGGGGTGGGGTGTGTGTATGTGTAAAACTGTGTAGGGCTGTGTGTGTGGCTGTGTAGGTGTAGGGGTGTGTAGGTATGTGTATGTACAGGGGTAGATGTAGGTATAAAGATGTGTTTGTAGGTGTGGGTGTATAGGTGTGGGTGTGTACAAGGGTATGTTTAGGTGTGTGTGTGTACAGGGGTGCGTGTAGGTTTAAGAGTGTATGTAGGGATGTATGGGTGTAGGGGCATGTGTGTAGGTCTAGGGGGCATGTCTGTGTGAGTGTGTAGGGATGTGTGAAAGTGTAGGTATAGGTGTGTGAGTGCGTTCTAGGGTGTGTGAAGGTATAGGGGTGTGTGTGTGTAGGTATAGATGTATGTGTGTGAAGGTATGGGTGTGTGTGTGTGTGTAGGTATGGTGTGCATTGGTATAGGGGTGTGTGTGTAGGTATAGATGTGTGTTAGGTATATGTGTGTAGGTATAGATGTATGTGTGTAGGTATGGGTGTGTGTGTGTGTGTGTGTAGGTATGGTGTGCATTGGTATAGGGGTGTGTGTGTAGGTATAGATGTGTGTTAGGTATATGTGTGTAGGTATAGATGTATGTGTGTAGGTATGGGTGTGTGTGTGTGTGTGTGTAGGTATGGTGTGCATTGGTATAGGGGTGTGTGTGTAGGTATAGATGTGTGTTAGGTATATGTGTGTAGGTATAGATGTATGTGTGTAGGTATGGGTGTGTGTGTGTGTGTAGGTATGGTGTGCATTGGTATAGCGGTGTGTGTGTAGGTATAGATGTGTGTTAGGTATAGGTGTGTGTGTGTAGGGATGGGTGTGTGTGTGTGTAGGTATGGTGTGCATTGGTATAGCGGTGTGTGTGTAGGTATAGATGTGTGTAGGTATAGATGTATGTGTGTGAAGGTATGGGGGTGTGTGTGTGTGTGTAGGTATGGTGTGCATTGGTATAGCGGTGTGTGTGTTGGTATAGATGTGTGTGTGTAGGTATCGGTTGGGATCATGGTTGCTTGTCTGTTAGGATGCGTGCACACTCGGGAACACGGCACTGCCTGCTCCTTGTGTTCCGTGCTCCCTCGTTGGGGTCATCCTCGTCCCCTCTTGTGTTTTATTGAGGAACAATTTTCCCTTTCACTTCAGAACCACTTTATAGGATGAAATAGATACTGAATCTGAAATCTGTTTATTTTGGTAATTTTCCCTTACTGGTCTTTGTGAGGAAGAGCAAGCTCAGTGTAGATTTAATTATGTTTTTGAAAGTTAGAGTTGCAGAGAGGGAAAGAGAGATCTTCCACCTGCTGGTTCACTCCCCAGATGGCCGTAACAGTCGGTGCTGGGCCAGACTGGAGCCAGGAGCTTCATCCAGGCCTCAAATGTGGGTGCTGGGCCCAGACACATCTGCTGCTGCTTTCCCCCAGGGAGCTGGATTGGAAGTGGAGCAGCTGGGACACAGACCAGCACCTATGTGGGTGGGATGCCAGTTTTGCAGGCAGTGGCTTTACCTGCTATGCCACCACGCTGGCCTCCATTGTGTATTGGTTGTTTTTGGTATTTTTAAAAATTTATTTTATTTATTTGAAAGAGCCACAGAGAGGAGAGAGAAAGGGAGAGACCCTCCATCCACTGGTTCACTCCCCAAATGGCCAAAACCACCAGGGCCTGGCCAGGCGGAAGCCAGGAGCCTTCTCCAGGTCCCCGACGTGGGTGCAGGGGCCCAAACACGTGACCCATCTTCCACTGCTTTTCCACGCCATTAGCAGGGAGCTGGACTGGAAGTGGAGCAGCCGGGACCCAGACTGGTGCCCACGTGTTTCTGTGTCCCGTCATCCTGCTGGGTTGACTGGTTTTCCTGTGTCCCGTCATCCTGCTGGGTTGACTGGTTTTCCTGTGCCCCATCATCCTATTTGATTGGTTTTCCTGTGTCCCGTCAACCTGCTGTTTGATTGGTTTTCCTGTGCCCCATCATCCTGCTATTTGATTGGTTTTCCTGTGTTCCAGGAATGAATCCTGTCGGGCCTTAGGGTGCTTGAAGGTGCTGCTGACTCCATTGCTGGTGTTTTGGGGACTGCTGGCTCTGTGTTTGTGGGGGGCGGGGGCGTTAGCTGTGGGCTTCCTGTGGTGTCTTTCTCTGCCTCTGTCCTCACAGGCTGGGGTAGGCAGTGCCTGGCTGACTGCTCTTGGTGGTCAGGAGTTGTGGGTGCAGCCACATGGCTCTGGGGTCCCGACGCTGACCGAGTCCCCCTGTGTCTCAATGGGGCGGCTGGCTGGGGTAGGCTGTGGGTTTCAGGGGTCTTTCTCGTGCAGGCTCCTGGTGTGCAGCCGCTCGGGGTGTCCTCGCGCAGGCCTTGTTGTTTTGGCAAAGGTCTCATTGCTAATTCTAGTGGTCTGTGTTTCCCCGTCCGCCCAGCTAAATGCCAGTGCAGTTGGTCCTCTGAAACCTCTTGGCTCCGGCGGTTTTTCCCAGTTGGTTTTCTCTGCTCTGTGTCTCGTGTTTCCACTCTGGTTATTTCCTTCCCTCCGCGAGCTTTGGAGGTAGTTGACTTTTATTTATCTGAAAGGCAGAGTTACAGAGAGCGGGGGATCTTCCATCCGCTGGTTCACTCCCTGAATGGCCACAATGGCCAGGACTGAGCCAGGAACCAGGAGTTTCCTCCAGGTCTCCCATGCGGGTGCAGGGACCCAAGCACTTTGGGCCATCTTCTGCTGCTATCCCAGGCCATCAGCAGGGAGCTGGATGGGAAGTGGAGCAGCCGGGACCCGACTAGGCGCCCACACGGGATGCCGGCGTCGCAGGTGGCAGCTGTACCTACTGCACCACAGCAGCCCCTCGTTTTCATTTGTCCCAAGGTATTTTCTTCCCTCTGACTTCTTCTTTGACTCACTGGTGAGCACTTGTGTTCAAACTCCACATGTTTACCAGTTTTCCAGCTTTTTTTTCTTCTGGCTCCATCCTCACGAGCAGAAGTCGGTTCTTTGCTCCTCTCCCACGGCTGCCAGGGAACGTCCGCCAGTTCCCCGAGAGCTCATCAGGGACAGATAAGGCGCAGCTTGGGACACCTGCATCCCGTGTCAGGCGCCTGGGTTCAAGTCCCGGCTCTGCTTCTAATCCCAGCTTCCTGCTCACGTGTCCCCAGAGAGACAGGTGGAGGTGGCTCAAGGAGTTGGTCCCTGCTGTCCAGGATGGACCTGGATTGGGTTCCCAGCTCTCTGTTTAGGTCTGGCCCCGGCCGTTGCACATACTTATCTTTTCCAGTAAAATGGATGGAGAAGGACTCTGTGCCTTCCAGAGCTGGAGCTCTGACTGTCCGCTGTACACGGGGGCGCCTCTCGCTGCTGGCCCTGCTTCCCTGAAGAACCCTCACCTGAGCCGCAGGCTTGTCTCCAGCGCAGGTTCTGTTCGCCGTCCGCCTGCCGGGGTCCACGCACAGGGCGCCTGGCAGAGCTCGGGATAGCCACAGGCGTTTGTTGGACCTTGTCAGTGGCTCGAGGGGGTGATGGGAAGCCCTGGGATCCTTGGGTTGCTCTTTGTAGCGTTTAAATGGCAATGCTTAGCTGCTTTTATAGGCCCGTCAGCGATATGGGCTGTGAACTGGAGCCGTGCAGTAAAGTGAAGCCATTTTTTTTTTTTTTTTGACAGGCAGAGTGGACAGAGAGAGAGAGACAGAGAGAAAGGTCTTCCTTTGCCATTGGTTCACCCTCCAATGGCCGCCGCTGCCGGCACGCTGCGGCCAGTGCACCGCGCTGATCCGATGGCAGGAGCCAGGTGCTTCTCCTGGTCTCCCATGGGGTGCAGGGCCCAAGGACTTGGGCCATCCTCCACTGTACTCCCAGGCCACAGCAGAGAGCTGGACTGGAAGAGGGGCAACCGGGACAGAAACCGGTGCCCCTACCAGGACTAGAACCCGGTGTGCCGGCGCCGCAAGGCGGAGGATTAGCCTAGTGAGCCGCGGCGCCGGCCTCAAACAGGTTTCCTTTTAAAAATCGGCTTCACGGGCTGGCGCCGCGGCTCACTAGGCTAATCCTCCGCCTTGCGGCGCCGGCACCCCGGGTTCTAGTCCTGGTTGGGGCACCGGATTCTGTCCCGGTTGCCCCTCTTCCAGGCCAGCCCTCTGCTGTGGCCAGGGAGTGCAGTGGAGGACGGCCCAGGTGCTTGGGCCCTGCACCCCATGGGAGACCAGGAAAAGCACCTGGCTCCTGGCTCCTGCCATCGGATCAGCGCGGTGCGCCGGCCGCAGCGCGCCGGCCGCGGCGGCCATTGGAGGGTGAACCAACGGCAAAAGGAAGACCTTTCTCTCTGTCTCTCTCTCTCTCACTGTCCACTCTGCCTGTCAAAAAAAAAAAAAAAAAAAAAAAGGAAACCTGTTTGTCGGGAGAGGCTGAGAGGGGGCGCACATCACTGGTCAGGGGCTAGGAGGGACAGCAGGTGTTCTGAAGCGGCGCTTCCACCTGCTGCATGGACCCCCCACATCCCGCCCCCCACATCTGATACTGCCTGGAGGGGCCCAATTCCCCTTCCCCCTTTATTTTTTTGGATCGTTGAGAGTGCGCCTGTCTTCCAGGTGCTCAGAGGCCTGGATCTTCCCTGTCTCTGGAATAATTAAGAGCCCAGGCATCAGTCCTGTTGCAGGAAGTCGAGGTTGAGACTAGAAAGGATCTTACCTCGGAGAGTAGCAAAGAGCTTCCAGCAGCCTAAGTAGCCATAACCATGGTAACCGTGTGTTAGGGACAGAGCGAAGGTCTCCTCCCCGCCCAGCCCTCACCTGCCCGGGGATTGGTGTCTGGTCCCAGGGATGGGGAAGTGGCGCAGACGGCCGTGCTGAACCCCCTCGCTGCTCTCTTCTAGCCATCGACCTCATGTATGGTGGCATCTACTGCTTCCTGTGCCAGGACTACATCTACGACAAGGACATGGAGGTCATTGCCAAGGAGGAGCAGCGGAAAGCCTGGAAGATGCAAGGTTTGCTGTCACCTGGGCCGCCCTGCCCCGGGGATGCCGCGCGCCCCAGGGTCCCCTCGTGCCTGGCAAGGGCAGAGCTCTTGGAGAAGAGAAATGAGGGCAAGCCGGGGACCCCCACTCACCCACTGCTTACCAAGGGAGACCGTGGTGATGGCTGCCTCCTGTCCAGGGCTGTCCTGGAGAGCCGTCTCCTGGGCGCGTAGCTCTGTCCTTTCCCTCTCAGAAACCCTGTGACGTCCCCAGTGAGTGCGGGTCAGTTACTGGTTTTGTTTGGAACGCTGAGACAGTCGGCTGGAGAGCCCAGCTGCCGGCCACAGAAGCGGCAATTCTGTGCCTGTTCTCGGCACGCGCCCACCAGGAGCACCTGCTCGCGGTCTGGGCGGCCTGGCCCGGCACAGGGGGCCGTCCAGGTCACAGGTGTCCCTCTGTGCTGAGCTCCAGGCACGTCACTGGGAGCACACGCGTGCTCATCTGACTGACAGGTGTCCTGCCGTCCCCTCCGTGGTGGATTCGTCCGTGACTGTCCAGAGGCCCCCACCTCTTGTTTTTTAATTTTTAAGTTAGTTTATTTTTATTTGAAAGGCAGAGAGGAAGAGCTAGTTCTGCCCGCATCCCCACAACAGCCAGGGGCCGGGCCGGGCCGAAGCCGGAGCCTGGAACTCCATGCAGGCCTCCGAGGACTTGGGCCGTTGCCCGCCGCCCCGGGAGCTGGGTGGGACGCAGAGACGGGGCTCCGACGTGGGCCAGGCGCCCGCCCCCGCCGCTGAGCTCCTGAGTGTGTGTGTTCGAGCCCCGGCTCCGTCTGCCTCCGCCAGGGGTCGGGGAGAAGTTTTCCACCTGGGAGCCGACCAAACGGGAGCTGGAGCTGCTGAAGCACAACCCGAAGCGGAGGAAGATCACGTCCAACTGCACCATAGGTGGGCGCGGGCCCCCTCCTCCTGTTCCTACGGAAGAGGGGTTCGAGGAATTCTGCCCCGACGTGGGGCGGCGGGGCGGCGGGGCGGCCCTTGGCGCAGTGCCTGGAGAAGCGGAGAAGCCTGACTGCCGCCGCCATTGTTCTCTTGCTTCCTGAATGGGTGGGTGAAGGAAGGTGGGGACTTCTGCAGGCGGGTGCAGCCTCAGCACCGCCCCCTCTGCCGTGGGTGGGCGGAGTTCAGATGCAGCCCCGCCCCTCCACTGTGGGTGGGGGGGATGTCGCCGCAGCCTCGCCCCTTCTGCCATGGGTGGGCGGAGCTCTGGCACGACCCCGCCCCCTCTGCCGTGGATGGGCAGTCCTGCCGCAGCCCCGCCCCTCCGCCACGGGTGGGCGGAGCCGCGCTCGGGCAGTGACCCCCGTGTGGCCTCCGTGCAGGTCTGCGGGGGCTGATCAACCTGGGCAACACCTGCTTCATGAACTGCATCGTGCAGGCCCTGACCCACACGCCGCTGCTGCGCGACTTCTTCCTGTCCGACAGGCACCGCTGCGAGATGCAGAGCCCCAGCTCCTGCCTGGTCTGTGAGATGTCCTCGCTCTTCCAGGAGGTGAGTGCCGCCGACAGGCCCCCTCTGAGCTGGGGCAGCGCCCTTGTGCACGGCGTGCAGTTTCCGAGGGAGAAGCTGGGAAGGAGGCATTGGGCAGGGGGCGGCTTGTGAGGGCCTGGCCGGGACTCTGCTCTCACCCTTCTCCCTTGTCGGCCGTTCCGTGTCCCAGGGAGGCGTGGCCACGTGCACATGGCCGTCTTCCTATGGGGGCTGCCTCGGAGCTTCTGCCCTGCCTGGCAGGCTCCGCCGCTTGATCTGCTGGCCGCTGCATTGGGGGTGCCTCACCAAAGGTCGGAGCCACACAGCTCCAGACGCGCTTTGGCAGGGTTCTCAGAGCCCAAGTCACCTGGCTGGTACCTGCCCGGCAGATTCCTGGAGGAGTCCAGGATCATTGGGGGCATGCAAACCCAGCTGGGTTGGACAGAGCATCCGGCCTGCAAAGCTGAGGTCACCTCCTGCCGGGCCCCTTCTGGAGCAGTCTGGCCGGCCTCTGGGCTGATCTGTCCCCTTGCCACACACCTGCACTAAGCCCATGACTGCTGGGCCTGGAGCTGTGAGCAGACTGACCGGTAGAGAGCAGGACACAGCTGGAAATCAGCTGAGGTTGTGGTGGCACTAGTTTGTCTGTTTGTTTTTAATTTTATTTTATTTGAAAGGTAGAGTTAGGGGGAGAGAGATCTGATTCACTCCCCAAGTGACCACAATGGCCGAGCTGTGCCAGGCCCGAAGACAGGAGCCAGGAGCTTCCTCCACATCTCCCCCATGAGTGGCAGGGGATTTGGTCCATCCTCTGCTGCTTTTCCAGGCGCATGAGCAGGGAGCTGGATCGGAAGTGGAGCAGCTGGGACTCGAATTGGCGGCCACGTGAGATGCCAGCACTGCAGGCGGGCGGCTTGACCTGCTTCGCCATGACGCTGGCCCGTGTTGCTGATTTTGCCAGGGTTGCTGTGCTGGTGCTTAACACAAATGCCGCCGTGCCAGTGGGAGTCTCCGGGAAGCCCATGCAGTGGTTAAGCTGCTGTTTGGGGCGCCTGAATCCCATATTGCAAGGCCTGGGTGCCAGCCCCACTGCATCTCCCAGTGTCCTGCTAATGTGCTTCCTGGGAGGTGGCAGGTGATGGCTCAGAGGGGTGGGCCCCTGCCACTCACGTGGGAGACCGGGATTGAGTTCCCGACCCCTGGTCTCAGCCTGACCCAAACCTGGCCATTGAAATGAACCAGCAGATAGGAACTGTCTGCCTCTTTTTTTTTTTTTTTTTTTTTAAGATTTTATTTATTTAGCTGAAAGGTAGTTACATCTTCCATCCTCTGGTTCACTCCCCAAATGAGCCCTGCTGCGACAGGCAGGGCACAGTCAGGCTGAAGCCAGGAGCCAGGAACCAGTGCTCATAAGGGATACCAGCCTCACAGGCAGTGGCTTAACCTGCTATGCCACAGTGCCGGCCTCTCCATGAACTTGGGCACTTTCCTGGGCGCGTTAGCAGGGAGCTGGATCAGAAGTGGAGCAGCCGGGACTCGAACCGGTGCCCATGTAGCATGCTGGTGCCTCAGGCGGCAGTCAACCCACTGTGCCACAGCACTGGCCCCTGTCTTGTTGTTTGTTGAACTCAAGTCTATCACAGTATAGTGGATGTCAGTACAGTTTGCCTTTCAACGCATAGATCATGAATTTGGACAAATGGGTGGTCGTGTAACTCCTGCCACACGCAAGACAGCAAACGGGGCTGGCGCTGTGGCGTAGCGGGTAAAGCCGAGCATTTTTCTTAGCTGCCTCTGACCGGGCTGAGGAGCCTCCGGCCAGCCTCACCTGTGGGGAGGGTGAGGAGTAAGTCCCAGCTCTGGTCGGAGCTGTGGCTCCGGCTGTGCGCTGAGCACTGGATTCTGATTTAGAAAGAGGATGTCCCCCGGGGCGAGGGGGAGCGCACCTGCTGCTAGAGCCGTGCGCTTGCTGTTTACAAAAGGGGGCTTTCGGAACCCTCGCCCCGCGGTGTGCGGTGTGCGGTCTTGGTGGCTCCCCCTGCGTGAGCTCAGGTGGCCGTGCCTGGAGGACCCCTCTCTGTCGCTGGGGCAGAGGCCCTCCGCCGTGTTCGTGGAGAGGCGTGGCCTTCCTCGTGTGCGTTTCTGCCTTGGCATTCTGCGTGGGTGTTTGTCCAGTGGCCAGTGCAACGGTGGCACGTTGCGCGTCGGCAGCTCAGAGAAGTTCCGAGTCAGCCCAGCACTTGCAGAGCGAGTGGCGGCGTCCCAGCGGCGCAGTGAATTCTCCTCCCCCGCAGCTGAGGCGTGGGCGCATGTGTCCCGTGGAGCTGTCCTCGGCCTCTGTGGTGTCACGGGCACAGACCCCAGCCGGCCCCTCTCTCCCCACGCCCACACTGTGCCACTGCATCGGTAAACCATCCACACGCCTAGTGCGCCAGGGGGTGGGTGCATGTGTCCTGGGCCAGTGAGTCCCTCTGGGACTAGCGGGCCAAGCACGTGCCCCTGGATTACCTCTGGTCAGACGAGCCCCGGGCCACTCCCGGCAGCCCCACAAGTGTCCCCTCTTCTCTCTGAGCAGTTTTACTCGGGGCACCGGTCCCCACACATCCCATACAAGCTGCTGCACCTGGTGTGGACGCACGCGCGGCACCTGGCCGGCTATGAGCAGCAGGACGCGCACGAGTTCCTCATTGCCGCTCTGGACGTCCTGCACCGGCACTGCAAAGGTGGGCGGGGAGGGGGAGCGGAGGAGCAGGGGAGCAGTGAGGGTGCAGCAGGGGAGGAGGTGGGGGGTGGCCCCCCAGATTCCTGCTGCGCCAGCACAGTTGTGATGTTTGCCAGTAAGGCGCAGGCTGCGATTCCCCCCAGCCGTCTCGATGCTGGCCTCTGACCCCCACGTCCTATTGCAAGCAGTATCCCCCAAGCCCTCCATCCCCCCTGGAGCTGGGGGATCCACAATCTGTGCCGCCCCAGCCCTCCCTGGCCCCGTGGCCGGTTCTTCTTGATCCCAGCCAGGGGCTTCTGGTGTAAAACCGATTCTCTGGGATGTTTTTTTGGAACTCTCCTTCTCCCACCACGTGGCCTCCAGGTGGGGCGCCCTCATGAGGGCAGGTTTCCAGACGGACACCTCCTGGCAGGGGTGGGGGAGTATGGCTGAGCCACTTGAGCCACACTGGGCCTCTGCCTGCCCTTCTCCCCGTGGAAGTCCCCGTCTGGAGGGTCCCCACGTGGGTGGGGGTGGGGCTCTAACCGAGGAGGTCTCGGGGACTCACCCTGTGGGAGAAGCTGCTCGCCGTGGGCTCCTGCAGCTTCCGGCCGCTACGGCAAGTTCTCAGCAGAGCTGCTTTTTGTCCAAGTTGCCGTGCTTGCAAAGATCAAGCGCTGTCGGCTGTCTGCACCTGGTGCTCCTTGTCCAGCTCAGGGATGGCTGTGCCCATGCCTTTGGTCCCTGCCCCATGGTGCCCTGCGGCTTGAGAACACCCACTCTTAGATAAGCGGGCCCTCCGTCAGCTGCTGTGGTTTTGGGTTCTGCTTTCTGGGCACCCTGATTCCTGCTGAAAAACGCTGAGGCAGGGGGTGGGGGTGTGGGTTAGGGTTTCCTGCCCAGGCCGTCTGCCCACGCTCCAGGCAGCCCTTGTGGGCTCGCGTGCCCCTCGGGGCCCAGGGAGCCTGCCACCTTGGAGGGTGCAGCTGCTAAGCCCCAGCGCCGTGCTCTGTCCCCAGGTGACGATAACGGCAAGAAGGCCAACAACCCGAACCACTGCAACTGCATCATCGACCAGATCTTCACCGGCGGGCTGCAGTCGGACGTCACCTGCCAGGTCTGCCAGTGAGTGTCCCGGCCGCCAGCCCCTGCCCGCACGGCCTCTGTGTCCTGGCCGCCAGCTCAGCCTCTGTGTCCCGGCCGCCAGCTCAGCCTCTGTGTCCCGGCCGCCCGCGCGGCCTCTGTGGCAAGGGTGGCACCCAGTTTTTTCGGGCACTCATGGGAGCATCTGCAACAGCCTGCAGGCGAGGGACAGGTGTTTACTTACACAGCCGAGCCTTGTCAGGCATTGAGATGAGACAGCCCAGCAGGTGCCGAAGGTGGGGTGAGGGGTCGTGCCGGGTCGGCCGGCGGCGTGCTCCCTACACCCTCGGTGCCGGGCACAGCTGTGTCCTGGACGCAGGCTCGTCCCCTGGCCCCCGAGCGCGCAGGTTTTGCAGCATCACGGGTTCCTCTGCGTGTCTGCTCACAGTCCCAGGCTGCAGGCTCAGGAAAGAGTCCTTTGTTGGCTACGTTGTAGAGTCCTGCAGTCGCCCTCGGTGCACACTGGAGGCGTCTAGTCCCCGAAGCCCTGGCCCCAAGCCCTTGAAGTCGTTTCAGTGTCTGCCGTCTGTGTAGGGCGGAGCAGGTGCTGCGCAGGCGCAGGCACGGGTGCAGGTTTTTTTTTGTAAGTAGCAGAGACGGTCCTGGGCCTTGGCTCTGAGCAGCTTGTGCCCGCCAGCTGACCATGAGCTACCAGGGGGAATCTCCGGGTTTACTTCCTCTTTGCATATCTCTCCAGGAAATTTCCATCCTATTTCTACTGTAAGGGCTCTGGGCAGGTGCTGGCTTGCTTTGGTGCAGCACCAGCTGCCCCCTGCAGGGGCTGCAGAGCCCGGCCACTGCCTTCTCAGCCTGAAGTGTGCCTTGGGGTCTCCGCTGTCCACGAGGGGGCAGTTCCCAGATAGCAGCGGGGATCCCGAGGCTCTGGACCGAGAGCCTGGAGTGTCCACTTTCAGAAAACCCCTAGGTGCTGGCCGTGATCTGCTGGCTTGGGAGACTGTTATTTTCCCAGCAGCCTTTGCCTCCCAGGCAGGACTCGGATCCCTGGCAGGGGCTTGGAGCCCCAGGCTTGTCTGGCGTGAGCGCTGCTGCTCTGTCCTGGCCTGGGAGGGCCTAGGGCAGGGCACATTGAGGGTGGGGTGGGCGATGGGGGCGGGGTGCGTGTTGGGGGTGGGGTGTGCATTGGGACGGGGCACTGTTGGGGGCGTGGAGGCGTTGGTCCTCAGTGCACCTGCACCTCCCTCTGCTCCAGTGGCGTCTCCACCACCATAGACCCCTTCTGGGACATCAGCTTAGACCTGCCTGGCTGCTCCACTCCCTTCTGGCCCCTGAGCCCCGGCAGCGAGGGCAGTGTGGTGAACGGCGAGAGCCACGTGTCCGGCACCACCACGCTCACCGACTGCTTGCGCAGGTAAGAGGCCTAGCCCTGGCATGGGGCCAGTGCCGGCCAGTGCCAGGGGGTCTTGGGAAATTTCAGAGGAGGCATGTGCTGTGAAACAACTACGCGTTTCGCACTGAACAAACCATTTTTTTTTTAACTTTACTTTTTTTTTTTTTTTTTTTTTTTTTAAGATTAATTTATTTGAGAGGCAGACAGAGAGGGCTTCCATCCACTGGTTCACTCCCCAAATGGCCAAGAAGGGTGGAGCTAGGCTGATCCAAAACCAGGAGCCAGGAGCTTCTTCTGGGTCTCCCACACGGGTGCAGGGCCCCAAGGACTTGGGCCATCTTCTACTGCTTTCCCAGGCCACAGCAGAGAGATGGATCGGAAGTGGAGCAGCCAGAACTCGAACTGGCGCCCATATGGGGTGCCGGCACTGCAGATGGCGGCTTTACCTGCCATGCCACAGCACCAGCCCCTTGCTACCTTTTTATTTTAATTTTTTTAAAAGATTTATTTATTTATTTGAAAGTCAGAGTTACACAGAGAGAGGAGAGGCAGAGAGAGAGAGAGCGAGATCTTCCATCCGATGGTTCACTCCCCAATTGGCCGCAATGGCCGGAGTTGCATTGATCCAAAGCCAAGAGCCAGGAGCTTCTTCCGGGTCTCCCATGCAGGTGCAGGGGCCTAAGGACTAGGGCCATCCTCCACTGCTTTCCCAGGCCGTAGCAGAGAGCTGGATCGGAAGAGGAGCAGCTGGGACTGGAACTAGCACTCATATGGGATGCCAGCACTTTAGGCCAGGGCGTTAACCTGCTGCAACACAGCGCCGGCCCCTACCCTTGCTACCTGTGTTTTTTTTTTTTTTTTTTTTTTTTTTTTTTTGACAGGCAGAGTTAGACAGTGAGAGAAAAAGGTCTTCCTTCTGTTGGTTCACCCCCTGTGTGGCCGTTACAGCTGGCACTGCGCTGATCTGAAGCCAGGAGCCAGGTGCTTCCTCCTGGTCTGCCATGCGGGTGCAGGGCCCAAGCACTTGGGCCATCCTCCACTGCACTCCCGGGCCACAGCAGAGAGCTGGACTGGAAGAGGAGCAACCAGGACAGAATCCGGCGCCCCAACCGGGACTAGAACCTGGGGTGCCGGCGCTGCAGGTGGAGGATTAGCCTATTGAGCCACGGCGCCGGCTGTAATGAGATACTTGGCCACTGCGGAATTGACTTAAAAAAAAAAAAAAGCTCTCACCCGCCTCTGGCCTCTGGTGAGGACCCTCCAGGGAGCAGGTCAGGATCACAGCAGCACAGTGAGGGGGTGGGGGTGGCCTGGGTGCACACCCATAGGGCGGGGCCGCAGCTGGGAGAGCTGACCATGGTCCTGTGACCACCCCCCCCCCAACTGACCCCTTCAGTGCCACCAATAAGCACCTTGCAGCAGGCCCCACCTCCTAAAGGTTCTGCCACTGCCGATGGTGCCACCCTGGGGCCCACGCCTCCACCTCCAGGGGACGCACACAGGCCTGCAGCCAGGCCCACACCTCCACCCCTAGGGGACGCACACAGACCCGCAGCCAGGCCCACGCCTCCACCCTCAGGGGACACACACAGACCTGCAGCTAGGCTCATGCCTCCACCCTCAGGGGACACACACAGACCTGCAGCTAGGCTCATGCCTCCACCCCCAGGGGACACACACAGACCTGCAGCTAGGCTCATGCCTCCACCCCCAGGGGACACACACAGACCTGCACCTCCACCCTCAGGGGACGCACACAGACCCGCAGCCAGGCTCATGCCTCCACCCTCGAGGGACACTCACAGACCCGCAGCCAGGCAGGTAGAAGCAGTGGCTGAGCCAGCATCCAGGACCAGGCCCCGAGCAGGGACAGCGCCCTGAGGACAGGTAGAGCCTTCGCTGCACTTGGTACCCAGCAGGCGCTCCTAGGTTGTGGCTGGTCTTTTGCTCGATGAGAGGCTGTGTCTGCCTCCCGAGCTTTGCCTGGCTCCTGAGCGGCTCTCCACCTCCAGTCCCGGGAAAATGAGAGAGAGAGCAGATCTCGAAGCTTCCTGGCCCTCTGTGGGTGACGGGCAGTGCCTGGCTGTGAGCTAAGGGGCCAGCCCCTCTCGCCTGGGCACCTGCAGCGTTTTCTGATTCATCCGTTTACGAGGTCGTCTGTTGAGGCAGGTGCTAGCATTTGGGGTGCACCTCTCAGCCCTGTGGAGGCCCCTGGAAGCCTCCCCTTGTTCCCCCTTCCCCTGCAGTGGTCAGCGGTCACTGCCAGTGCGGACGGGCTGCGACGAGAGCTGCCCAGCCTCGGTTATCTCGCTGCCCTTGTCAGCAGGACCAAAGCTGCGTGTGTATGTGTGTATGTGTGTGTGTGCCCGTGTGTGCATGCCCGTGTGTGCATGTGTGTGTGCAGGACCAAAGCTGCGTGTGTATGTGTGTATGTGTGTATGTGTGTGTGTGCAGGACCAAAGCTGCGTGTGTGTGTGTGCCCGTGTGTGTGTGTGTGTATGTGTGTGCATGTGTGTGTGTGCAGGACCAAAGCTGCGTGTGTATGTGTGTGTGTGCGTGCCCGTGTGTGCATGTGTGTATGTGTGTGTGCACGCGCGCGCTGTTGAACATGATGTCAGCCTTGCTTCCCAAGTGAAAGGCCTGAAGTGGGCTCTCCGCAGCTGTGACTTAAGCAGAGCACTTTGCCGGAGTCCTCGCTGAGTCACATACGTCATGAAAGGGGGAGTCGCCCTTTGCGGTTGGGCCAGCGCAGGCCGTGGGGTGGGGTGGGGTGGGGTGGGGGTGGGGAGCACCCCCTCAAAGGCTCGCTGTGGCTGGTTTTGTTTTGTTTTGTTTTTAATTTATTTATTTAAAAGGCAGAGTTTTACAGAGAGACAAACAGATCTGCCTTCTGGTTTGTCCCCCAAATGGCCGCTAACTGCCAGGGCAGGGCCAGGCTGAAACCAGGAGCCTGGAACTCCGTCCTCGGACTCGCACATGGGTGGCAGGGGCCCAAGCAGTCTGGCCGTCTTGGGCTACCTTTCCAGGGGCATTAGCAGGGAGCTGCATCGGAAGTGGAGCAGCCAGGACTCGAACCAGGGCCCACGCGGGATGCTGGCATTGGGGGCAGCGGTTTAGCCTGCTGTGCCACGCCGGCCCCTCCCTGAGTTTCTGTGTGTGTGTGTGTGTGTGTGTGTGTTTATTTTAACTGCATTTGAAAGACCAGCAGACACAGAGGGACAGGGAGAACTACCATCTGCTGTTTCACTCCCGGAACGCCTGGCCAGAGCCAGGAGCCAGGAAGTCAACTCAGGTCTCCCATGTGGGCGGCAGGGGCCCGAGTGCTTGAGTCGTCACCATCTGCTGCCTCCCAGGGTGTGCATCAGCAAGAAGCGGAATCAGAAGCCGAGGACTGCAACGGCCCAGGCTGGAGCCAAGAACTCCATCCAGGTCTCCCACGTGGGGGCAGGCGCCCAAGCACTTGGGCCATCTTCCACTGCTTTCCCAGGTGCATTAGCAGGGGAGCTGGATCTATAAGTGGAGCAGCCGGGACTCGAACCGGCGCCCATATGGGAAGCTGGCATCAGAGGTGACAGCTCAGCCTGCTGCCCCTCAGCGCCAGCCCCGACGCAGCCTTTCTGACATCACAGACTCTTACCCGGTTTGGACTGTTGCAAGCAAAGCTGCCGTAGATTTGTGTACGGTTTTTGTGTGCACATTGCATTTTGATTTCTCTGGGACAGACTCATCTGCTGGGTCGTATGGCAGTTAGAGACCCGTTACCTATTCCCTGGCCCTTTGCTGCAGCCAGAACATTGAAGGTGAATATTTTTAGAAGCGCCAGGGGAGAAAAGATGGAGGAGGAAGAACTGGTGTCACTGTGGAATTCCAAACACGTGCACGTGTGACTGTGGGCACGCAGGGGACAAGAGCCCACGGGCCGGGTCCAGCGCCACCGTCTCTGATCACACTCTTGGCTCTCTCAACACCCGGCAGGTTCACCAGACCAGAGCACCTGGGGAGCAGCGCCAAGATCAAGTGCAGCGGTTGCCATAGCTACCAGGAGTCCACCAAGCAGCTCACCATGAAGAAACTGCCCATCGTGGCTTGTTTTCATCTCAAGGTCGGTCTGCTGGGCGGCTGGTCAAAACCACCTGTGGTCCCCGGGTCCCCGGCACAGCTCATGGGGTGCAGAGGGCACGCTGTGACCCCAGCGCACGGTGGGAGGGGAGTGAGCTGCTCCCTGGGCCGCAGTTGGGAGGTTTTCTTCCACCCAGGTCCTGCAGCTCCCCTGCCCACGTTTTGTTGTTCGTTCTTAAACACGGGGGCTCAGCATCGCAGTGTTGTGCTGAGGCCTTCCTGAGCCCGTCCTGCAAACAGCCAGGGGCTCCGCAGGCTGCCTGCCGCTTCTTTAAGAGGCAGAGTGACAGAGAGACTCGCCCATCCACTGGTTCACTCCCCAAATGGCCACGACAGCCAGGGCTGGGCCAGACCGAAGCCAGGAGCTTCCCCTGGGTCTCCCACACAGGTGCAGGAGCCCAAGCACTTGGGCCATCTTCCACTGCTTTCTCAGATGCATTAGCAGGGAGCTGGATCGGAAGTGGAGCAGCCGGGACTCAAACCAGTGCCCCTGTGGTTTGCTGATGTTACAGGCAGTGGCTTTACTCGCTCTGCCACAGCTCCAGTCCCCGAGAGTGCTTTTAAATACAGGAACTTCCTGGCTCACTGCCTGATCGATCTCCTGGATTGGTTTTGCTGCCGCAGGTTGCTGGGGTGGCGGGGTTGGGGGGAGGGAGACCTCCTGTACACCCCCCCCCCCAGCAGGCCCAGTCCTGACTTGAGCCTCATAAATGAGGCCTGTGTGGGTTCACTTTGTGCTGGTGACGCGTCAGCTCCGGACACGGGTGGAAGGTGATTCATAAGACAGAGAGGGGGTCTCAGGGATGGGGGGCCGCTCCCTCTCACCCTCCCTCCCCGTCCCTGTCTGCAGCGCTTCGAGCACTCGGCCAAGCTGAGACGCAAGATCACCACGTACGTGTCCTTTCCCCTGGAGCTGGACATGACGCCCTTCATGGCCTCCAGGTGGGCGGCGTCTCTTCCTCCACGAGCGGCCGGGGGTGCAGACTGGGGGGGGGGGGGGCGGGGGACACGAGCCTTTACCTTCCCGAAACACAGTTCTTTGCTTTTTTAAAGTTTTATTTATATGAGGGGCATGGGGGGGGGGGTGCGGGGGTTGGGCAGAGAGAGCTTCCACCTGCTGGTTCACTCTCCCAGTGCCCATAACAGCCTTGGCTGGAGCAGGCTGGAGCCAGGAGCTCCACCCAGGTCTCCCGGGTCGGGTTGCGGGGACCCAAGCGCTTGGGCCGTCTTCCGCTGCTTTCCCAGGCTGTTAGCCGGCAGCTGATGGGCAGTGGAGCAGCCGGGTCACAAGCGGGTGACCATACGGGATGCCGGTGCACAGTGCCAGCCGCTGTGTGGTGCTTTTTGAGGAAGCAGCTGCATCAGCTGTGGAGGCCTCACATCTGTCCCAGCTGCGCTCCATCCTCGGGAGAGGCTGCAGTGGAAGTGCCAGGAGGCACGGCCAGGCCTGTGCCCCATACACAGCCTGCACCTGCCGCCGTAGCCATCGCGGGGCGTGGGTAGGGAGAGCGTGTCCCCCTGCAGCACGTGGCGGGGTGGCCCTGGACACACAGCCCCCCGCGTGTCTTCGGGCACTTGCTTTACCACCCCTGCTGAGTTTGGTTCTTGTCGTGGCAGCAAGGAGAGCAGGATGAACGGGCAGTACCAGCAGCCCACAGACAGCCTCAACAATGACAACAAGTGAGTTGTGGGCAGCCCCGGGGGCGGGGAGCCAGGGGCAGGGGCCCTTCCCATGGCTCTGTGCTGCGAGTCCTGCCCGCTGCTGGGGGGCTCGGCGTCGGGTCCTCAGGGGCCCGCCTGGCACGGGTGTCTGCTTCCTGATGGGGACCCCATGGAGTCGGCCGCTGTTCCCATCCCCCACCCCCACCCCCACCCCCAGGTACTCCTTGTTTGCGGTCGTGAACCACCAAGGCACCCTGGAGAGCGGCCACTACACCAGCTTCATCCGCCAGCACAAAGACCAGTGGTTCAAGTGCGATGACGCCATCATCACCAAGGCCAGCATCAAGGACGTGCTGGACAGCGAAGGGTGCGGCCCGGACCTGGCTCCGGAGGGAAGAAGGATGGGAGGCCCTTTGCGGGCAGTGCTACCTCCCCTTGTGCCAAAACCACATCGACCGGGGTGGGGCGGGCACCTTCCAAGGACCGCTGAGAGCTTGCTCTGCAGCGGGCGCCTCCCTGGCCACGGGCGCCCTCTAGCGCACGGAACGGCACACGGCAGCTCCTACCCCTCCCGCTGGGTCCTCCACCTGGGGTCCCTGACCCAGGGCTGCAGCAGACCCACCTACCGGGAGCAGAGTTCTAGGCGCCAGGGTGGCGGGGTTGGATCTGGGGGTGCCAGCTGTCGCGTGTGCAAGCCGGCGAGGTTCTCGCCTCCTTGTGGAGAGGAAAACCAAACCCACGCAGCCCCCGGGGTGGGCAGCGGGCAGCTGCCTGCAGGGGCCGGGCAGGTGTCAGCCTTCCCTAAGCCCCCGCGTCTCTGCCTCCCCAGGTACCTGCTCTTCTACCACAAACAGTTCCTGGAGTACGAGTAGCCTCGTCCACGGCCGGCCAGCCAGGACGAAGGCGACGAATTGGCGACCTCACCGACGACCCCGGCCTCCCTGACAGCGTCCCGGCCCGCAGGCCCCTCTGCCCAGGCTGGGCCCCCACAGGGACTGCAGGAGGCTGCGGCGCGGGCCGGAGGGCCCTGCCCCTGGAGCGTCTCGCGGGCGCCTCCCTTGGTGGCTGCCCAGCCTGCGTCCGCGTCCACGCCCACGCCCACGCCCAGGCCCAGGGGCGTCCATGGCAGCCGTGGGCAGGCAGGGCCAGGGCGGTTGCCATGCCGGGGCCGGGAACCGCACTGCATGAGGACGCGCCGGCCGGAGCCATCTCGGGTTTCTAGAAGTAGGCTTTCTGACCCTCCCTCCTCTCCCCGTGCCCCTGATGGCGGCCGCCTCCTGGGTTTCTGCCGACTGTGCGTGGGCGGAGCTTGCTTTCTACTTGGTGCTGTCTCCTTGCTTCCGTTCCTGGGGCGGGCAGAGCGGAGCGAGCCAGGCTGCCGCCGCCCGCGTTCTCTGGGGTCTGAATGGGGCGCGCAAGCGGAGGGTCTCTGGGCGGTGTTAGCGTCCCTTTCCTCCTCCCCTTCCTGGTCCGCTCTCCCACCTCCTCTCCCTCACTGCTGGCGCGGGGACGCTGGGGTTGCCGGCGGCATGTCGTGTGCGGGCCGGGAATGAAATGGCTTCGCGGCCAGGGAGGCGTGTTCCCTGGGGGCCTGTACTTAGGGACTCTGAGATTTGAATTAACGTCATCCTCCCGGATCAAGGAAGTTGAGATTAAAGTATTTTAAGCTGGGGAGACCGTGTTGCTGGCTGAGAGACTGCAGGAGGGTGGCAGGTGGAACCCCCCACCACCACCACCTTTCCCTCCAGGCGGGCACCGTCGGAGCCTGCGGCATCCCCACGGCCTGCGACTCGAGAGCGTTTTCAGGGGGCCGGGGTGACCCGGTGCTGAGTCGGGCACAGCTTGGAGCAGGGCACGTGGCTTCGGGACTCTGAGCTGGGAAACCCTTCTGGAAGGCGTGCGCGCCACGGGGCACCCTGGCCTGCTGGGTGTCCAGACGCAGGCGTGGCCGGGCCCCTGTGCCGGCCTGGGGCTCTGTGGCGAGTCCCCTGGGCCCCACGCAGCAGCTCCTGTCCCCGGCGAGTGTCAGCCGCGCCCAAGACACTGGTGCCAGGAGCCAGGTGGCGCCCTGCCCTGAACACTTGTCTGTGGGCACCGCATTCCATGTTCCATGTGCCCCCTGGGGACATGACGCTGATGTCCTGAGTTGGGGACTCTGCCTGCTTCCAGCTCCCCAGTGCTGCTTTCTGTTCAGGAAAATGGTGTTCCATTTCCCGGTAATGCCCCGCCCTCGCCTCGCACCCCTCATGTCCTGCAGATGCCTGGGGTGCAGCCGGCCCCGCACCCTACGGCACCAGTACCACGCCTGCGTCTCTGAGATGCCGGCCCGCCCCACACCCTGCACCCACACGTCCTCCCAGACGCCTGGGGTTCAGCCCAGCCCCGCACCCGCACCCGTTGTGACCACGACCTGCGTTTCTGCGATGCAGGCCCTGCACCCCGCGCCCCGCCGCGGTGCTTCACGGGAAGGCGCCCCCTCCCCCGCTTGCCGCGTGTGCTTCGCGTCGTGTGACATTGATGTGCCCCCGCCAGTTCCAGTGCCCATTGCGTGTGCTCTTGCTCTGAAAACAAGCCGGAAGAGACCAGTTCCGATGCTCGTGCTGTGGTTGGAGATTCGATGGCCAGACGTCCGCCCCTCCCCACCCCTCCCCTCCCTGTCGTCGGAGGACCCGCGCGCTCCGGCCTCCTCCCTTCCTGGCTTGTAGTTTCTCCCCTCATAATAAAGCTGCATTTTATTCCGAAAAATAACCAGAAGCCCGGCTCCCTCCTTACCGCCAGGGTGGCGGGGCTGCAGCACCACGGTGGCCGCCCCCTCCCCGGCACATGGACTTGGTGCAGGTGCAACCGTGACCTTCGGCTGAAGCGCGCATGGAGGTCACCTGAGGCCTTGTAAGGGCTGGGACCAGGCTAGGTGACAGCCGTGGGATGCCCTGTGTGACGTCAGTGCCGGCGAGGACGTGGCACGCGGGCTGAACACGCACAGCAGTGAGCATGCGTGACTGTGTAGCTGGTTTGGGGACTGGTGTAGACTCCGTGACCCCCGTCCCCTCCCGGGCTTTGGTGATCAGGGCTCTGGAGCTGGTTAACCCAGACCTCTGCGAGTTCTGGCAGGTGTGCGCCTCCTGTTTTGCATGCATGGGTTGCAAACCTCTGTGGGAGACCCGCTCACCTACCTCCCCTGGGAATACCAAGAGGCACCGGACAGCCCCGCCGCGGTCCTCACGGGGTCCTTGTGTCCCTGGGGAGGCAGGTGCTCCAAGAACTTCCCAGGCCAGGAATAAGAATTACCTACGATGGGTGGGGTTGCAAAGTGCGGCACCAGAGCCACGCCCATTGCCCTCACCTTGATACTGCTCCTCCCATCCCAGCCTTGGCAACCGGAAACAAATGGTTTTTCTTGCAAGCTGGGGATGCACTGGGGCTTCCCCATAGCATTGTCTTGAGCCAGCCCAGCTGCTGCTTCCAGGGACTTGCGGCCCCCCGCCCCCACAACCCCACCCCCTGAAGGCAGCTCCCAAAGGGCCCATGGGTTGGCTCCAGTGGAGACGGATTCCCACCCCTCGACTGCGGCAGGGCCGGTGCACGGAGCTGATCCGTCTTCCTGGGAGTGAGTCAGTCTGCCATGCAGGGCAGGGTCAGCCCAGTGGACCCTAGTGAGGGCAAGTGTGTGACCTTGAGCCCACTCTGGGCTCCGGTGCGCAATGTCTCCTTTGCCCATGGCTTAGCCAGGGGCCAGACCAGCTGCATCTGCGAGCTTGCAGGTGTGTCCATGGGGGACCGAGAGTGTCCCGTGGCCAGCAGGAACACAGGGGTCTTTACCGGCCTTGAGGTCATCCGCACCCAGACCTCGTTGCCCTCTCAATCCTGTTCCCTCCATGCCCTTGACAGCCAAGCTGTCAGCAAGATGTCCCCTGTGTATGGATGTAGTTCCAGCCCTGAGCCCTGGCTCGCCCAGAGCGGGGGATGCTCCAAGCTCCACTCCCTGGCGGGGTTCCCCTTCGAGACCACTCCCTGTGGGCTTGTGGCACAGCAGGTTAACCCACGGCCTGCAGTGCCGACATCCCATATGGATGCCGGTTCAAGGTCTGGCTGCTCCACTTCCCACCCAGCTCCCTGCTAATGCTCCTGGGAAGAGCAGCTGGGAGACCAGATGGAGTTCCAGCCTCCTGGCTTCAGCCTGGCTGAGCCGCAGCCTTTGTGGCCATTTGGGGAGTGAACAGTTGGTGCAAGATCTGTCTAACTCTTGCTTTTCCAAATAAATAAACCTTCCAAAAAGAAGTTCTGGGGCCGACGCTGTAGCGTAGCAGATAAAGCTGCCACCTGCAGTGCCAGCATCCCATATGGGCGCCGGTTCGAGTCCTGGCTGCTCCACTTTCGATCCAGCTCCCTGCTGTGGCCTGGGAAAGCAGTAGAAGGTGGCCCAAGTGTTTGGGCCCCTGCACCCGCGTGGGAGACCCGGAAGAAGCTCCTGGCTCCTGGCTTCAGATTGGCTCAACTGTGGCCATTTGGGGAGTGAACCAGTGGATGGAAAACCTCTCTGTAACTTTCAAATAAATAAATCTTAAAAACAAACACAGCATTTCTCCAAATGCATCACCACCCAGCCTTTGGATTGCAGATATGGGGGTGGGGGTGGGGGTGCTGAGAACAGCTGCCTGGGGCCCAGCACAGGAGGAGACGCCCTGCGGGGCCCAGCGCAGGTCAGTGGAAGAGTGGGGATCCACACTGGCCACACGCTCTTTCCCTGGGGCTTCCGCCAGGACTTCAACCGGGCCCTCGCAGGGTGGTGCCAGTCAGGGAGGGAGGCGGCCAGTGCTGCAGGACGCACCACAAGACAGCAAGCGCAGTGCCATCCACCCCGCAGGCACACAGCAGTGAGGGGGCGGGGCGACAGATGTGCCCGCCTCCGCATCTGAACACCTCCCACCTCTGTCTCAGGCTGGTGGGGCAGCAGAAATCACCAGACACACAGCAGGGGAGGGGGAGGGGAAGAGGGAGAGGTCTTCCATCCACTGGTTCACTCCCCAATTGGCCACAATCTTAGAGTTGCCACCTGCTGGCCCACTCCCCAGATACCCACAATGGCTGGAGCTGGGCTCAGAATCCAGGTGTCCCACGTGGGTGGCAGGAACCCAGCCTGGCTGCTGCTCTCCCTCCCCCAACCCCTCCGCGCCCCAGGGTCTGCACCAGCAAGAAGCTGGTGTCAAGAGCCCGAGGGGACCAAGGAGTCCCGCCCACAACTTCAGCCCTGGGATGGGAAGACGGGGCGCCCCGGTGGCCAGGCGGCCAGGGGGAGCAGGGCGTGGCAATCCAGGTGAAACCCCTGGGAGTTCCGGGGAGGGGCACGCCAGCGGCCCCAGGGGGACGCGGCAGGTGCAGGCCCTGGGCTGTCGCGGTTGGAGACCCACCCTGGGGAGCAGGAGAGTCTGGCTCCGCAGAAGGGACTTCCGGGGGCTGGGCCAGCAGGTACAAGCGATTTTATTACTGGGCACTTTGGGTGAGTAACGTCGCTCGCACCGGGACCCAGGCGGCCCTTCCTCCTCGCTCCCTTCCCCTCCCCTCAAACGCCCAGGCTCCCCTCCTGGGCGGGCGCGCACAGCGGGCCGAGGCCGCCGTCCGGGGCGCGCGCGCACGACCGCGGGGCGGCGGTCCCGGGGCAGCGCCCCAGGCTCTCAGCGACCGCGGGCCGGGGCGTCTCGGGCGTGGCTGAGCTCTCCTGAGTGGGCGCCCTGCGCTCGGGGAAACAGAAGCTGCAGGTCTCCACCGGGCCGGGCGGCGCGCATGTTGCGGGGCCGGCTTCCATCGCGGGATCTGGGAGGGCAGGAACGGAGGGAGGGCGTCGGCGGCGACGGGGCCCGGAAAGCCGCGGCAGACCCCCACCCCGCCCCGGGCTCCAGAAGCCGAGGGCGCCCCCTGCCACCACCAACTCTGCCCTCTTGCCTGCACCGACCGCCGTGCGCCCTGCATCCAGGGCCTGGCTTGGGGACCCTCTTCTCCCCTCTTCCCGCCCAGTTGTTTTAATCCGAGTTTGCCAAAACGGAGCAGGAAGGTGCCCCAGACCTCTCCCTGGACGATACGGCCTAACGCTGTCCCCGTAGGCGCAGGGGCCGCGTAGGCAAGCCCGGGTTCCCTCCCCCATGCACTCACCTTGGGAAGGCTTGGCCCGGGGTCTCCCTGCCGGGGGCTGGCAGGAAACCTGGTCGCCCCTCCTCTTGAGGAAGCAGGCCACGGCCACCAAGAAGCAGCAGATGATGGCGCACAGGCAGACCCCCAGCGTGCTGTAGACCAGGGCCAGCTGGTGCGCGCTCAGCCTGGGCACCAGCGGCGCTGCAAGACAGAAGGGACCCGGAGCTCAGGACCCGAGTGAGGAGCAGCCCTTGCTCCCCAGGGCCCTACGCTAAGTGGCTGTGCCCTTAGATCAGCAGCTGCCCAGACCTCTCTCTGTCCGAAGTCTGCGCCCCCCCCAACAGAGCCCAAGCAGCCCACCTCACCCGCCCCCCCGCACCCATGTGGGAGGCCTGGAAGAAGCTCCTGGCTCCTGGCTTTAGCCTGGCCCAGTCCTGGCTGTTTGCAGCCATTTGGAGAGTGAACCAGGGGTTGAAAGATTCTAACTCTGCCTTTCAAATAAATAAAATAAATCTTAAACATTCAAGGACAATGCATAGTGTGAAAAAACTAGGCATGGATTTCACATGTTTTGGTGCCAGACTGAAGCTGGCATTTTCCACAAACTTTTTTGTGGAGAAACTTTAAGATAGTCCCAGAGGTGGATGGATGAAAGCCCACAGGAGCAGGACCAGGGTCTTTGTCCTCAGCTCAAGTTTATCCTGCTCCCTACAAGGGAGGCAACACTGGGTCCTGGGGTGCAAGGACGGGCATGCCAGGCTTAATGTCACCTGCACGTGAGACACCCATGACAGTCCCATGTGCCAGATTCAAGGTCACGTGCACACAGTGCACTCATGACAGGCTTGTGTGCTAGGTTTAATGTGCGTGTGTCACACTCATGACAGTCCCGTGTGCCAGGCTTAATGTCACGTGATATACCCATGACAGTCCCGTGTCACATGCACACGATGCACTTACGACAGCTCGCATGCGCCACTTCCCTTCTGCCTATCTCCTTTAATCAGCCTCCAAGGCCAATCCGATCAGCTGTACTACACAGCTGAGACAAGAGGGGCCGGCGCGGTGGTGTAGCAGGTAAAGCCGCTGCCTACAGTGCCGGCATCCCATAGGGACACCTGTTCATTCCCAGCTGCTCTACTTCCCGTCCAGCTCTCTGCTGTGGCCTGGGAAAGCAGCGGACGATGGCCCAAGTCCTTGGGCCCCTGCATCTGTGTGGGAGACCCGGAAGAAGCTCCTGGCTCCTGGTTTTGGATCAGCGCAGCTCTGGCTGTTGCAGCCATCTGGGGAGTGAACCAGCAGATGGAAGACCTCTCTCTCTCTCTTCCTCTCTCTGTAACGCTACCTCTCAAGTAAATAAATTTTAAAAAGAAAAAAAGCTAACAAAAACCACACAACAGGTCACTTTCCACGTGTTACCCAGGGGCACGGGCACCCAGGTCCCTCAAACGTGGTGGGTGGAGTGGCCTCTTTTGGACCCAAACACCACCACTGAAAACATCCTTTCCTTAAAAAAAATTACTTATATGTGGGGCAGCCAAGGAGAGCGACGGTCAGATGAACACAGCAGCCACGGCTGGGGCTAGGCAGGTTCCAGAACCTGGAACCAGGGAAGGAGAACACAGCGCGGGTCTCCAGCGCAGGTGGAGATGATGGAGCCATCTTCCCAGCCTCTCAGGGACCACTCATTCGGACGCTTGCAGAGAACGACCACGAGGGGGCACCCCAGTTGCTTTCTAAGCCGTCTAGTTTTTTTTTTTTTTTTTTTTAATTTTTTTTTTTTTAATTTTTTTTGACAGGCAGACAGAGTGGACAGTGAGAGAGAGAGAGACAGAGAGAAAGGTCTTCCTTTGCCGTTGGTTCACCCTCCAATGGCCGCTGCGGCCGGCGTGCTGCGGCTGGTGCATCACGCTGATCCAAAGGCAGGAGCCAGGTGCTTCTCCTGGTCTCCCACGGGGTGCAGGGCCCAAGCACCTGGGCCATCCTCCACTGCACTCCCTGGCCACAGCAGAGAGCTGGCCTGGAAGAGGGGCAACCGGGACAGAATCCGGCGCCCCGACCGGGACTAGAACCCGCTGTGCCGGCGCCGCAAGGCAGAGGATTAGCCTAGTGAGCCGCGGCGCCGGCCATAGTGTTGGTTTTGTTTTGTTGGAAAACTGTTTTCAAAGACTTCTCTTACCTAAAAGCATTTTACTGCAGGCTGCTGCCCCCGGCCCAGGCTCCAGCTGGCCAGTGGGGCACGCTGGTAACCTGTCACTCAAAGGGGCCAGTGTGGCCAGGGTGGGGCCGGCCCCAGCAGCTGGACACAAAGGCAGGACAGAGAAGTGTGCTGACTGATTGTCATTTGGTGTCACATGTAAACGAGGCAGCGAGGCCTGGGTGGAAAGTTGCAGCTAGCTGCCCCCAGCTTGCCTGTCCCACAGGGAGGAGCCTGGGAAAGGCAGGGTGGACAGAGGGTGCGCTGGGAGGAGTCAGGGACATCTGACACCTGTGCCCATGGAACTGACTCCAGGGCTTGGCTCACTGGCTGGGGCGTGGGGACAGCCACCAGGCACCCGGCCCATCCTGCCCTTGGTACGTCACTGCGTCCCACCTATGCTGAGACAGCAGGAGCCTCCTCCCCTCCCCCCGGGCCTCTGGCCTCGCCCACTGCCCCTTAGCAGGGTTTCTGACCCCTCAATGAGATGCCCTATGCAGGCTCCCACGTTGCAGGGGAGGGGCAGTGCTGGCTGCCCCCTGGACTGGCCTGATTCTCTGGTGTGTGTGGTGGTGGTGGGGGGCTGTCCTTGAGATGGCCCCGCCCCCTGAGAGCTATCTCTCTTAACTGGCAGATGTGGCCTCCGAGGGTGTCAGAAATGGCCTCTCCCAGCACCCTGCTGCAGCTCCCCCCGCCCCCACCGTGCCCACCACTGCCTCCCGGCCTGGTGGGCAGGACCCTCCGTCAGCTGCATCCCAGCTCCCCACCACCACCACAGCCACACCCCCAACCCCACCACCAGCATCCTCCCCTGGATCCCTCCTGTCCCCATCCCCCGCTCCGTGGTGAGGGCGTGCAGCCTGCAGTCTGGGCAGTGGGTCCCACTGTGTCCGCCCGGGCTGGAAGCCCCCGAGGCAGGCATCAGCCCCTGCTCCTCGGATGCCCAGGCTCTCACAGCCTTACCACGCCCACGCCTTCCTCAATGGCCCCTGCACGCACTGTGCCCGCCGCCCAGGGCACTCTCTAGCTCCACGGGCCTCAGCGCCTCAACAGCCGTGTGGACTCCATGGGCTCCCTACCCATCTTGGCACACGGCACCCCACATCCACACCAAAGGAGGCTCTAGGGTTGCAGCTGGCGCCCCCTGCTGGTCACACACGGGAAGCAGCTAACTTCCTCCCATGGCTGGGTGGGCAGTAGCCCACCCTCCAAGGGCCATGGAGACCCGCCCAGGGCCATAGGGACCCGCCCCAGGCTGGCCACCGTGCCTTGGGGCCCGACACGGCCGTGCACCTGTTGTGTGACCCCCGGCAAGTCTGCAAATGTCAAGACTCAGTATCTCCATCTGTCAAATGGGTATGACTGACACAAAAGGGGAAGTGGTTGCGTGGCAGGTGGGGGAAGTTCCTGGTTGGGTACAAGAATGGAGGCAGCACTGAGTGTAGGGAAGATGTCAGCGATGGCGCTGCCACAGTGGCGCTCTGCCCCCGCGGTCCCCCGTGGCCCAGCCATCGAGCCCTAGCCTTTGGTCTCTCAGTGTGTGGGGGCCTGGTCTCCCCAGACTGATGCTGTCACGAGGAGGGCACGGCACAGGGACGAAACCGCTCAGCCTGCTGGGGACTGCGACCGAGAGCAGCCCCAAGGTCGAAGGTCGTGCCCGGTATGTGTGGTCACCACCTGCTCTGATGCCACGGGGCCACAGGGGAGCCAGCAGGTGCTGTGGGGGGGGGGGGCGGAGTAGATTGCGTCCAGTGCCGGGCACTCAGGGGGCCCACGCTCTCGCAGGGCCCTACTCGTCACGTCCATGGAGGGTTTCAGGGGACACAGCCTTTCCTCCTCACTCTCAGGAGGTTCTGTAAGGACTCCGGCAGCCAGGCAGACGGCAGATGCCTCTGTCACAGGCGCTCACACAGTAGGGCTGCTGGTGAGTCAGGGGCTCACACAGTAGGGCTGAGGGTGACTCACGTGCTCACACAGTAGGGCTGCTGGTGAGTCAGGCACTCACACAGTAGGGCTGAGGGGTGACCTGGGCGCTCACACAGTGGGGCTGAGGGTGACTCGGGCGCTCACGCAGTAGGGCTGAGGGTGACCTGGGCGCTCACACAGTAGGGCTGAGGGTGACTCGGGCGCTCACACAGTAGGGCTGAGGGTGACCTGGGTGCTCACACAGTAGGACTGAGGGTGACCTGGGCGCTCACACAGTAGGGCTGAGGGTGACTCGGGCGCTCACACAGTAGGGCTGCTGATCCGCACCTTGGGCTCCAGGCCCACTGGGCCTCCGCAGCCATGACCTCAAGGCCCCCTGCCACTGCCTGGCCATCCTGCCTCCTCTTGCCCAGTGGGCCTCCGCAGCCATGACCTCAAGGCCCCCTGCCGCTGCCTGGCCATCCTGCCTCCTCTTGCCAGGTGGGCCTCCGCAGCCATGACCTCAAGGCCCCCTGCCGCTGCCTGGCCATCCTGCCTCCTCTTGCCCCCAGACTACTCGGCGTTTTTCTCAAGTTCTCTCCTGTGCTGGGAAGACCAGCCAGGACACTGGCTCCCTGGTGCAGCCCCTCCCCGCACCCCTCCCCAACTCGGACGGCCGACGCCCAGCAGGTGCGCGGCCGCGGCTTACCTGGAGCGGCCTCCAAGCCTCTGTGCTCGGATCCCTGGTACCTTCCCGTGCTGTCCGCCCTGGCCTCCGACTCCCCATCCTGCTGCTGCCTGAGCTCGGGCGAGAGGCCCCCTCGGCCCCGGATCCGGCCGTCACAGAAGTGGGCGCACGGCTTGGGGTGCTGGCCGCACACGGAGACGCAGCTGACGCAGTCCCGCAGCAGGGGGTCGTAGTATCTGCCTGGCTCCTTGTGGCAGCTGAGCGACTCTGAGAGACAGAAGGGAGAGGCAGCGCGGGGTCACGGGGGCCTGCGGAGCTCGGGGGTGGTCTCAGATGTCAGAGTTAAAAAAAATCACAGTCCGGTTTCCAAACAGCAATTCCAGATCACAGGGCCTTCTAGAATTTTCCAGTGGAAGGCTATGCATGGTCCTCTACGTTCCGTTCTAGCCGCACTGCCCGTATTTGATAGGTGGGTGGGTGTTTTTTTTTTTTTTTTCTAAAATCGGTTCAAGACATTCTAACTTTTGACCATTATTTCTTCTTCGAGCTATAGATCCTTCGAAAGTATATTTCTTAGTCTTCAAATATATATAAGGATCTTCCTGGGGCAGGTGTTGTGGCACAGTGGGTTACACTGCTGCCTGTGACATCAGCATCCCATATGGGCGCTGGTTCAAGTCCCGGCTGCTCCACTTCTGATCCAGCTCTCTGCTATGGCCTGGGATAGCAGTGGAGGATGGCCCAAGTCCTTGGGCCCCTGCACTTGCATGGGAGACCTGGATGGGGCTCCTGGCTCCAGCCTGGCCCAACCTTAGCCATTTGAGGAATGAACCAGTGAATGGAAGACCGACCTCTCTCTCTTTCCCATCATTCTGCCTTTCAAGTAAATTAATCTTTTTTTAAAAAATAAGATTTACTTTTATTTTGAAATTGATATGTGGATGTCACACAAATTCCTTCTTATTAAACATTTATTTATTTATTTGAAAAGCAGAGATACAGAGAGAAGGAGAGAGAGAGAGAGAGAGAGAGGTCTTCCATCTGCTGGTTCACTCCCCCAAATGGCCACAATGGCCAGAGCTGAGCCAATTCAAAGCCAGGAGCCTGGATCTTTTTCCAGGACTCCCATGCAGGTGCAGGGGCCCAAGGACTTGGGCCATCTTCTGCTTTCCCAGGCCACAGCAGAGAGCTGGATCGGAAGAGGAGCAGCTGGGACTCAAACCGGCGCCCATATAGGGTGCCGGCACTGCAGGCTGAGGCTTTACCCGCCACGCCACAGTGCTGGCCCCCGTATTTATTTATTCTGAAAGTCAGGAGACTTTAAAAATGAATAAATAAACAGGGAATATCTGAGATGGGCCAAGCGTGAAAATCATGTTAAGGGGCTATTCACGGGGGTGATAAGGTGTTGAGGTTAGGATGTCTGATGGAGCAGTTACAGGCAAATGATGGGAGCTCCTGGGTTTACTTTCACATAAAGAGGCGGAGTCGCCACGAGTGTTGAAGCTGACGGCGATGGCTTTGGTAATAGAAGGTTCGAGAGAGTCACGCTGGAGAATGACAAAGAGGGTCTTGCGGCTACATCACAGAACAGGGGCGCCACCTGGGCAAGGCGCCTGGGGCAGAAAAGGGCCGGGCACCCCCCCAAGAAGCCAGAGGGGGGCAGTGTGGCCTGATGGAGGGGTACAGTATGGCACCCAGCCCCTCCCACAGCCCCCCCTCCGCGGCTGCCCGGCTCTGGGGGACCAGGCGGGCACGGGCCCGCGGACTCACTGCAGAAGGCCGCACAGGTGCGCTGGCTCCGGTGGCTGCACATGGGTTTGCAGGAGACACAGGTGTTCAGCAGGGGGTCCCAGAACTGCTCTTCGGGGCAGGAACTCATAGCCAGCCCCGTCCACGGGCCCTGCGGAGCTGAGAGGTGGGGGGTGTGAGGGCAGCTGGCAGGGGACTCGGGGTATTCTCCCAGTCTCAGCGAGCAGAGGGCAGCCAGCCAAGGCCACCCAGCGAGCCTCGGTTTCCCCATCTGTGAAATGGGTGCTCTGAGCATCCCCACCCCCTCTCACACCAGCTGTGCCCTGCCTGGCCCTGCTCACGGCCCTCCGTGCCACTTCCTACCTCAGGACCTTTGCACACGCTGCTCCCTTTGCACACGATGCTCTTTTTCTTTGGTTGAGGATTCCCTCCTCACCCTTGAGACTCCTGTGTAGCCTTCGCTGCCCCAGGGCTGGGTTTCTGACTCTCCCCGGCCCTCTGCCACGCCCACAGCGCCCCCACCCGTCACTCCGGGCACAGTACCAGCAGTGACTGTGAGCACCACGGTTTTGTCCTTTGCCAGTCCTCAGAACCTACACAGAGCTCAGGACACGCACGGCAGGCCCTCGTTGCATGGATTTTTTTGCAAAGCAGCAAGCGCTGGTGTCAAGTCAGTTTATTCCCGGTTTTCTTATTTACTGGGGTACAAAACAAAGCACGTGGCTGGCGCATTTTTTATGCACGTGTGCACCTGTGTGTTTTGCTGCAGTCCACACAGACAGTACTTCCTGCTGCCTGCAACACTCCCTGGGCCCCTCCCGGGGTAACCCATGCTGTGGTGTAGTGGGTAAAGCCACCACCTGCAGTGCCAGTACCCCCAGCATCCCATATGGGCGCCAGTTCAAGTCCTGGCTGCTCCTCTTCCAATCCAGCTCCCCGCTAATGGGCCTGGGAAAGCAGTGGAAGATGGCCCAGGTGCTTGGGCCCCTGCATCCACGCGGGTGCATCTTCCCCCACAGGCAGGGGTAGCCATCCTGGACCGCCCACATCTGCCATTGTCTGACTGAATGACCTCGGTGATTGTCGTGGTCCAGCTCTCTGCAGCCACTTTGGTGCTACTGGGAGCTGTCACCATCGGGGGCACTGCCTCTTCTCTCATCCTCTGTCTGATTTCACAATACCAGCTTCCCGCTACTTTGGCAAAGCATTGGAGTTTTCTTTCTCTTTTAAATATTTATTATTTATTTGAGAGGCAGAGTCACAGGCAGAGAGAGGGAGACACAGAGAGAAAGGTCTTCCATTCACTGGTTCTCTCCCCCAGAAAGCTGCAACAGCTGGAGCTGCGCCCATCCGAAGCCAGGAGCCAGGAGCTTCTTCCATGTCTCCCATGGGGGTGCAGGGGTCCAAGGACCTGAACCATCTTCCACTGCTTTCCCAGGCCATCAGAAGGGAGCTGGCTCGGAAGTGGAGCAGCCGGGACTCGAACCGGTGTCCATATGGGATGCTGGCACTGCGAGAGGCAGTTTAACCTACTGCACCACCGTGCCAGGTTCTCAAAGCTGCCCACTCCCCACAGTACAGCCAGTAGGCAACCAGCAGGGGGCGCTGCTGCAAAGCCGCCCAGTCCCCGCAGTGCAGCCAGTGGGTAACCAGCAGGGGGCGCTGCGGGAAAAGCAATCCAAGAAGATCTAGACGCACTGACAGCAGGAGCCCCTCGCAGGACGATGGCCAGGGCCCTGCCTTAGCGCACAAGGGCAAAGCGCCTACTTCATCAGCCCCGTCCATTCCCAGGACTCACACTCAAGCTCTCAGTGCCCCAGTCCAAGCCGTGAGCCAGTAGCCAAGATCACTGGATCCTGGAGCATCCGGCATGCAAGAGACCAACTCCAGCACACAGACGACAGGAGCGTGGCACCCACAGATGATGCAGGGAACGGAGAAAAATGAGAGGGAACAGCAGAAATCGTGGATGTCCTCAGAAACAGAAAAGACTGTGCACGCACAACCCTGGCAGTGCAGTCACTACTTGGAAAGACGTTCATAGAACAAAGCAGAATTGTGAGAAACCCCAAGTGTCAAAGCTGAATACAGATATTAAAGAGAAAGGCTAGAAGATGCGGTGGAAGGAACTATCCAGAAAATGGGAGAGACGGGACTTGGAAGCATGGACTCACGTCGGGTGGTCCAGAGGTGGACAGGTGATTTGGAAGACAATGGCTTCCAGACTGAAAGGGCCCATCCCCTGCATGCTAACAGGTGTCACATGAAATGTAGGAGCAGGCTGGGGCCAGCCTGTGGTGCAGAGGGTTAAGCCACTGACTATGACATCGGTTGGGACACTGGTTCAAATCCCGGCTGCTCCATCTCCACTCCAGCTCCCTGTTAATGCACTTGGAAAAGCAGCAGAAGATGGCCCAACCCACTGTGCAAGAAAAGTTTGGAAAAGTCGCAAGCAGGGAGCTCCAGACCTTAACGAGATGCTGCCAACGCCACGACATGGCGCTCAAAACACACCAAGGAGGGTCGGCGCTGTGGCGTAGCGGGTAAAGCCTTCACCTGCGGTGCCAGCATCCCATATGGGCACCGGTTTGAGTCCTGGGTGCTCCACTTCCAATCCAGCTTCCTGCTAATGCGCCTGGGAAAGCAGTAGAGGATGGCCTGGGACCTTAGGTCCCTGCACCCACGTGGGAGACCTGGAAAAAGCTCCTGGTCCCTGTCTTCAGCCTGGCCCAGCCCTAGTCATTGTGGTTACTTGGGGAATGAACCAGCAGACTGAAGAGCACTCTCTCTCTCTCTCTCTCTGCCTCTGTTCAATGTTGCTGTCAATCTAAAACAGCTCTAAAAAAAAAAAAAAAGCCTATTGAGAAAAAGGAAACGAAACAAACTGAGATTCTGAAATTGAAAAGGCTGACATGTACCAGCCACCAGGGAGGTTTATCAGCAAAGCTGGGCAGGCAGAAGAAAGAGAGGTGAACTTGGAGATGAGACAGCCGAGCTGAGTGTCGGCAGAGCAGAAAGACATACGAGCGAGGGACCTGTGGGATTCCATCAAAGGGACCCACATACACATACAGGGATTCCGGAAGAAGACAGAAGAGCAGGGGGAAAGACATCTGAAGAAAGAGTGGCCCTGGGGTCGGCGCTGTGGCGCAGTGGGTTAAATCAGCACCTGTGATGCCAGCATCCGGTGGGAGCACCGGTTCGAGTCCCGGCTGCCCCACTTTCAATCCAACCCCCTGCTGATGTGCCTGGGAAAGCAGCAGAAGATGGCTCCAAGTGCTTGGGCCCCCTGGCATGGGAGACCCAGATGGATGTTACAGTAACAAAAGAGAAACAAAGACACTTCTAGGTAAACAAAACCAGAGGCATTGCATGGGCAGGAACCCCGCCCTACAAACATTGCTAAATAAGGAATCCTTGCCTAAACAAACACACACCAGACAGGAACCAGAAGCTGAGAGAGAGAGAGAGAGAGAGAGAGAGAGAGAGAGAGAAGCACTAGCAAGGCATTTACATAAGTAAACACAGAAGCCAGCAGGGACGCACTGTGGGTTTGGTTTATAAGCTTTCTTTTTGCTTCTGTTGTTCAAGGCTCCGATGCATAAAACCACGACTCCACACCTGCCTGCGGGATCATCTAAGGCAGAGTGGACAGTGAGAGAGAGAGAGAGAGAGAGAGAGAGAGAGAGAGAGAGAGAAAGGTCTTCCTTTGCCGTTGGTTCACCCTCCAATGGCTGCTGCAGCCGGCGCACCACGCTGATCCGATGGCAGGAGCCAGGTGCTTCTCCTGGTCTCCCATGGGGTGCAGGGCCCAAGGACTTGGGCCATCCTCCACTGCACTCCCTGGCCACAGCAGAGAGCTGGCCTGGAAGAGGGGCAGCCGGGACAGAATCCGGCGCCCCGACTGGGACTAGAACCTGGTGTGCTGGTGCCGCAAGGTGGAGGATTAGCCTAGTGAGCCGCGGCGCCAGCCCCAGTTGCCCCTCTTCCAGGCCAGCTCTCTGCTGTGGCCCGGGAGTGCAGTGGAGGATGGCCCAAGTCCTTGGGCCCTGCACCCCATGGGAGACCAGGAGAAGCACCTGGCTCCTGGCTTCAGATCAGCGCGGTGCGCCGGCTGCAGCGGCCACTGGAGGGTGAACCAACAGAAAAAAAAGGAAGATCTTTCTCTCTGTCTCTCTCTGACTGTCCACCCTGCCTGTTAAAAAAAAAAAAAAAAAAAAAAAAGAAGGAATACGGGACAGTAACAATACAGAGGCCAGGGACAAAGCGGTACAGGCACAGAGATTTGTACGCCAAGAACTAAGCTGGTGTCATTCAAGCTAGGGTGCTGTACTTTTAAGACGTTCATTGTCATCTCCATGGTAACCACTAAGCAAGCAACTTCAAAATACACAGAGGGGTCAGTGCTGTGGCATAGCCGGTTAAGGTTCCACCTGCTGGAGTCCTATATGAGTGACAGTTCGAGACCCGGCTGCTCCACTTCCTATCCAGCTCTCTGCTATGGCCTGGGAAAGCAGTAGGAGATGGCCCAAGTGCTTGGGCCCCTGCACCCATGTGGGAGACCTGGAAGAAGCTCCTGGCTTCAGTCCAGCCAGTTTTAGCCATTTGGAGAGTGAACCAGAAGATGGAAGAACTCTCTCTCTCTCTCTCTCTCTCTGTAACTCTGCCTTTCAAATAAATAAATCCTTTTTTAAAAAAGCATGCACGCACACACACATAGGAACAAAGGCAAAAGCAAATCCTTCCTTATAAGCAATCACATTAAATGTAAGTGAACTAAAGTGTCCCACTAAAGGGCTGAAATTGGCAGATTGGATTTTTTAAAAGATTGATTTATCTACAATGAAAGCAACGGTTACAGAGAAACTTAGGTCAAGGCACTCAAATCATCCCCTGAATTCTACACCTGGAGATAAAAAAAAACGAACAGCAAACGAACAGCAAACGAAGCCGAGAGCTAGTCGTAGCCGAAAGGAAAAAATAATTAAGAACAGAAGAGAAAAACAAAACCAGAGAGCAGAGAACCGGAGCAGAACATCAACCAAACCAAACATGGCTTCTTCTTCGAGAAGATCAACCGACAACGCGTTTGGCAAGACTGACTCGGGCAAAGAAAGAAATTACTAAACTCGGACATGAAGTTGGGGAAGGGGAAAAAA